CCTTATCTCTTCAAGGGTTCCATGACCATACAATAGTATGAAACATGGATTTCCGGGGGACATTCAAGATCTGTTGTATAACAGACTATCACAATTTCCATAACATAAGAGCTGGAACATATCTCTTCAGGAGAACATAGTTTCTCCTACCTGGAGTTAGAGGGGCCATGGCCAGGACTGTTAAAAAAACAGAATAACTATAAATACAAAGATCCAAAATAGAAAGAAGATATCCAAAAAGTAAGCATTCATTTTATTATTTTTTTATTTTTAATAATAAAATAAAATATAGTAAGATAATCTAAAACTAACAGATCAGAATTGGACAAAACAAAAAGGAAGGAAAGGAGCCCAAAAGAATTCACAAGTATCAGAGAACCATTAATTTCTACACCCAAGAATCCATAAAAACACTAAACTGGAAACTCTAATAGATATTCAAAGGACATGAGGCTGACCCGTGCAGGCCCTGTGCATGCTGCCTCAGTCTCTGTGTTTGTTGGTTTAGAGGGCCTTATTTTCTTGGTGTCCTCCATTCTTCTCTGCCTTTCACCTATTCTTATGGAAGGTTTTCTGAACCCTGATGGGAGAGATTTGTTGAATACATCCTATTTTAAGGCTGAGTGTTCTAAGGCCTCTCACTTTCTGCATAATGTCTACTTGTGAGTCTTTGCATTTGTTGCCATCTGCTGCAGGAGGATGCTTCTCTATTGATGGCTGAGTAAAGCACTCATCATAAGTATAGTAGAATGTCATGAAGATTCGTTTTATTACTACTTTTTTTTTTTTTTTAAAAAGACCACTATCTAGTTTTAGGTTCTTAGACACGTAAGTGTCTGGTATGGTTCCATTCCCGAGAGTCAAATCAGACAAATCGGGTACTGATTGGTTACCCCACAAACATTTTGCCACCATTGCACTAGCATATAGGTAGGACACCACTGTAGATCAAACGATTTGTGGCTGGGTTGGTGTTCACCTTTCTCCTTTAGTTGTGTGCAGACTTTATAATTATGCTAGCATATAGAGGTGAATGTTCTGTGTAGGTGCCAGCTCAACTTTTCCATGTTCAATGAATTGTGCAGGTGTTGTTTCCTGCAATGGGGCCTTGATGTGGGTTTGTGGAGAGAAACCTATACTCTTTTTTTTTTATTTTTTATTTAACTTTTATTAATTACACTTTATTCATTTTGTATCCCCCCATAAGCCCCTCCCTCTTCCCCTCCCGGTCCACCCTCCCCCCCTTTCTGCATGCATGGGACACCCTCCCCATGTCCACTGATCGGGGAGGTCCTCCTCTCCTTCTTTCTGATCTTATTTTATCAGTTCTCATCAGAAGTGGCTGCATTGTCAAGGTTCTAAGTTATCTCCATGAATAGTCCTTGGTTGGAGTATGAGTCTCTGGGAAGTTCCCTGTGTTCAAATTTTCTTGTTCTGTTGCTCTCCTTGTGGAGTTCCTGTCCTCTCCAGCTCTTACTATTTCCCACTTCTTACATAAAATTCCATTCACTCTGCCCGACAGTTGGCCATCAGGCTCAGCATCTGCTTTGAAAGTCTGCATGGCAGAGGCTTTCAGAGGCCCTCTGTGGCAGGTTCCTAGGTTGTTTCATGTTTTCTTCTTCTTTTTATGATGTCCATCCTCTTTGCCTTTCAGGTTGGGGATTGAACATTTTAGTTAGGGTCCTCTCTTTTGCTTAGTTTCTTTAGATGTACAGATTTTAGTGGGTTTATCCTATGTTGTATGTTTATATGAGTGAGTATATACCGTGTGTGTATGTACTTTTTGCTTCTGGGACAACTCTCTCAGGATGATCCTTTCCAGGTCCCACCATTTACCTGCAAATTTCACAATTTCCTTATTTTTCATTGCTGAGTAATACTCCATTGTATAGATGTACCACAGTTTCTGCATCCATTCTTCAGTTGAGGAGCATCTGGGCTGTTTCCAGCTTCTAGCTATTACAAATAAAGCTGCTACAAACATGGTTGAGCCAATGTCCTTTTTGTGTACTTGAGCATCTTTTGGATATATGCCTAGGAGTGGTATGGCTGAATCTTGAGGAAGCGCTATTCCTAGTTGTCTGAGAAAGTGCCAGATTGATTTCCAGAGTGGTTGTACAAGTTTACATTCCCACCAGCAGTGGAGGAGGGTTCCCCTTTCTCCACAACCTCTCCAGCATGTGTTGTCACTTGAGTTTTTGATCTTGGCCATTCTGATGGGTGTAAGGTGAAATCTCAGGATTGTTTTGATTTGCATTTTCCTAATGTCTAATGAGGTTGAGCATTTCTTTAAGTGTTTCTCTGCCATTCGATATTCTTCTACAGAGAATTCTCTGTTTAGCTCTGTTCCCCATTTTTTAATTGGATTACTTGGTTTGCTGCTTTTCAGCTTCTTTAGTTCTTTATATATACTGGATATGTGTCCTCTGTCAGATAAAGAGTTGGTGAAGATTCTTTCCCAATCTGTAGGCAGTCACTTTGTTTTGATGACGGTGTCCTTTGCTTTACAGAAGCTTTTCAGTTTCATGAGGTCCCATTTATTGATTGTTGCTCTTAGAGCCTGTGCTGTTGGTGTTCTGTTCAGGAAGTTTTCTCCTGTACCAATGAGTTGTAGGGTATTTCCCACTTTTTTTTTTCTAGCCGATTTAATGTGTCTGGTTTTATGTTGAGGTCTTTGATCCACTTGGACTTCAGTTTTGTGCAGGGTGATAAGTATGGATCTATTTTCATTTTTCTACATGTAGATATCCAGTTGGACCAGCACCATTTGTTGAAGATGCTATCTTTTTTCCATTGTATGGTTTTGGCATCTTTGTCAAAAATCAGGTGTCCATAAGTATGTGGGTTTATTTCTGGGTCTTCTGTTCAGTTCCATTGATCCACCATTCTGGTATTCTTGGTAATAGTTACTTGGAGATTCCAAGGGGACCCATTTGGCCAACAACTCAATTATATATAACCCAATCCTTTTACTGGAAGCTTCCTTTGGTGAAAAGAGATGGCAAGTTGGGGCTTTGTATATGCCATTATTTGTCTGTTTCATTTAGACCACCTTTTATATGCATATATTTTAGGAAGCTTTTACTATGTTAGGTTTCTATACTACTCAAATGACCCTTAATTTTAGCTGTCTAACCTCATATTTCTTCCTTCATGTCCCTCTCCTCTGGCCTTTCTGACTTGATCTTTCTTGTTCAACCTCAGAAGCCCCCAGCATCAATAAGTTCCTATTGTATTTCCCTTTCCTAATAAGATCTGTCTCTTCTTTCCAGTCTTTTACACGTAACCTGTGTGGTTATATGGATTGTATCTTAGTAATTATTGACTTAACAGAAAATATCCGCATATAAGTGAGTACATACCATGTTTGTCTTCGTGGGTTTGGTTTACCTCATTTAGGATGATTATTTCTAGTTCCATCTATTATATCCATGAATTTCATGATTGCATTTTTTAAACAACTTAGTAATATCTCATTGTGTAAATGTTTTACATTTTCTTTATCCATTCTTTTGTTGAGGGACACACTGATTGTTTGCAATTTTGTGGCTATTATGAATAGATAAGTAACACTATGGAGTAAGCATCTTTGTGGTAAGATAGAGCATTCCTTGGGTATATGGCCAAGAGTGGTGTAGCTGGGTCTTGAGGTAGATCAATTTTCAATTTTCTGAGAAACTTCAATATTGATTTCCATAGTAGCTGCACAAGTTTGCACTTCTACCAGCAATGGAAGAATGTTCTCATTGTTCTACATCCTTACCAACATGAGCTGTCACATGTGTTATTGATCATGGTAATTATAACAGGTGTAAGATGAAATCTCAAAACAGTGGTTTTGATTTTCATTTCCCTGGTGGCTAAAGATGTTGAACATTTTGTTTGTCTGTTTCTCAGTCATTTGCAATTCCAGTATTGAGAATTCTCTGTTTATATCTGTACCCCATTTAAAAAAATGAATTCTTTGATTCTTTTTTGGTATCTAGTTTCTTGAGTTATTTAAACATTTTGGATATTAGCCAGTTATTGAATGTGGAGTTAGGACACTCTTCTCTCATTCTGTAGGCTGTGGATTTGTCTGAATGTTAGTATCCTTTGCCTTATGGAAGCTTTTCAGTTTCATGAGATCCCATTTACTAATCGTAGATCTTAGAGCCTGTGCTATGCAGTCTTCTGTTCAGAAAGTCATCTCCTGTGCTAATAGATTCAAGGCTATTTCCCATTTCTCTAACATGTTCAGGTATTTTGTTGAGGTCTGACTCATTTAGAGTTGAGTTTTGTGCAGAGTGATAAGTATGGTTCTTTTGGATTATTATACATGGAGCCATCAGTTTATTAGCACCATTTGTTAAAGATGCTGTCTTTTTTTTTTAACTAGTATGTTTTTACGGCCTTTTTAAAATTAAAAATCTGGTATTTATTAGTGTTTTGAGTTATATGTGGGTCTTCAATTCTATTCCCTTGATCAACATATGTCTCTTTGTGCCAATACCACACTGTTTTTTTTTTTTTTATTAGTATAGCTCCCTACAGTTTGAGATTGGGGATAGTGAAACCTCTAGAAGTTCTTTTAATACACAAAAGCATGTTAGCTATCCCAATTGCTTTATGGTTTCATATGAAGATGAAAATTGTTCTTTTAAGTTCTGTGAAAACTTGTTTTGGAATTTTGATGGCGATTGTATTGAGTGTGTAAATTGATAGGATGAACATTTTTACTATATTAATCCTACCAATCCATGAGGGGGGGGGGTCTTTGCATCTTCTGATACCTTCAATCTCTTTCCTCAGTGCCTTATAGTCTTAATCATACAAGTCTTTCCCTTGCTTTATTAGAGTTCATACAGAATTTTTATAATATTTGAGGCTGATACCCCACCGGTTTTAAAACGACTTAATGGTTTGGTTAATATTAACCTTTTATGACTTTGTTGTCTTTTGTGAAAACAAACGTGTTGTCCCTGTGAGTGCGACGTAAGAGCCAAACAGCCAAGGTTTTCCCACAGACACAGCTGTTGCTCTCCCACTCCTGCAGCGGTCTGAGAAGAGCACCATGGAGAAGGTTATTGTGGGCACCCTGCTTCTCTCTGTTCTTTCAGGAGGTGTATCACAAACAGGTGGGTCATGACCACAGCCGGAAAGCTCTCCACACCTAGAACAGGTTGGGTCTAAAACCTTTTGCTGTAGCTGTTCTCAGAAAGATATGAGTAAAAAGGTGTGTGTAAGTCACTTACTTTGTCTGTGATGCCTCCTAAGCTTAGCAGCTTGAAAGGGTGAACGTTCACTTATCCTGTGTCTTTTTTACAACAGAAAACAGAGAACTCCCCAGCTACTAGTCCCAAGCACGGGTCTGTATGGATTGCAGTCTTTCAACTAACGTTGTAGTGTTATCTGAAGTGGGTCTGCTCCCGTGCTTACTTGTATGGTTAATCAATTTCAGTTTATTTCAGGGTTCTGGGCCAGAGGCCTGAGTTCCTTATTGTCTATTGACTGTAGACCTCTTCTTAATTTTCTGTCACTGAGGTCCTTTCTACAAAACAGCTTGCTACCTGTGGCTGGAAGATATATACAGTTTAGAAGTCACAGCCCTTCCATATTAAATCTTCAAAATCCTCCCACTGTGTCCTATTTTTTTGCCAGTGAATCAGCCCAACCCAAAAGAAAGAAATTTAACTGAAGTCATATTTAAAAAAATACCATGGATATTGATGACTAAGGTATTTATGCTAATTATAAAGATACCATACTAGGTATAAGGATATCTCTGGGTTCAAGAAAGGAGAATAGGATTTTTTTTTTTTTTTGAGAATAGGATTTGCTTCTTTGATGAGAACACACTTCTTTTCTAAGAAGTTAGAGGAACACACACACACACACAGAGAGAGAGAGAGAGAGAGAGAGAGAATGTTTACTCTCCCATCTTTTTTAAACATTTAGTTGACGAAGTGTAAGAGGAAATCTTGGAAATAGTTTGAACTTTATACCAGAAACCCAATTTCTTCCTAATACTTGGACAATTGCATGACCATTGTCAAGGGGCAAGACTCTGTGCCTCATTTCTTTACCACTACAATTGGGATACAAATATTACTCACACAATAAACAGTGAGATCAATTAAGGAAGAATGAACTTTGTGATGCTTGTTATAAAAGTAACTTTTTATTACCAAAGAAGACACTTTACTATTTTGACAGCTTTATATTTTCTTTCTTTTTGCTGCCAGTAAGAAAACTTGACACATTTCTTTTTGCTGCAATGTTACGGTCAGCAGTGAGTTGTAAGTTATTTCAGGCTAACCATGATATTTTGCTTCAAGTTTGTATACTGACAAGGTTACAAACAGGGAGATAATTGATCATGGGGTAAAAATACACGGTTTACACTTCAATCTCCCTCATCTCTCTCTTCCTCCTCCCTCTCTCTCTCTCTCCTACTCTCTAGGTAGACTTCTTTTCTGGAAGTGTTCCATTCCCATTCTCCAGGGGTCCAAAGTATAAGCATTTTTTAAAAGAAGCCCTTGTATGTTAGGAAATAGAATTCATGCTGTTTTCCCATTTCCTACTAAGAAGCAAAACTAACTCAATTCAAGACTTTATATTATTTCTAGGCCATGTTTCCTCTGATTCAGTTAGTCATTATTCTCGAATTTATTTTCCAAACTGTAGCATTTGTTAAATTCACTTTTCTAAACCAGGAAAAATCCTTCTATAATGATTAGAGTTTTATCTTTTCACATGGCTCTTAAGACAAAATAAATCCATAGTATATAACCCCTTGATCTTCTTGCTGCCATGGAAAACTGGTTCTTATTGAACATAGGAACTGCAGGAGACAGTGAAGCTGAAGGTATAGTACCATCATGGTCTGGACCAAGTAATTTGCAAGATTCCATTAGTCTATCATAATAAGGTCCAGGATGTACCTTATTATGCTTCCGGCTCTCGAAAAATATCACGATTGGGTCAGTGGTGGGAGAATATACAGTACCTCATGCTTTACTCATTCCAACGATTCAATTACATTTTATTTTCTGTCATGGGTGGGTTCTTCTTTTATCTAGGTGCTGTCTTGAGGAAGATGGAGGTAGAGTCCAGGAAATCTTTAATTTTGTAACAGATCAACTGAACCCAAATCCATCCGTTCATTGTTTTGTTTGAAACAAGGTCTTAGGTAGGTCAGGTTGTCCTCAAACTCACTATATAGAGTAGATGGCTTCCACCGCTCCAGTGCTGGGGCTGCAGGCATGTACCGCCTCTTTCAGCCCTGCCTTTAACACTGTCGAGCTACTCATCATTTCTAAGCTCACACACTTGCAGGACCTCTATGTGCTCCAATATATTCTACATGATCTGCTGGGAGGCAGCTCTAAGGCCATGAAAAGAAGAAGTCAAACATTGTACTTGATAGGATGTTTGTCTTATTGTCTTTTCTCCACAGACATGTTGGGGAAGGCATTTATTTTCCCTCAAGAATCATCCACTGCCTATGTATCGCTGATCCCACAAATGAGAACGTCACTGCAAAAGTTCACCTTGTGTCTGAAGGCCTTCACTGACCTCACCCGCCCGTACAGTCTCTTCTCCTACAGCACAAAGACCAAGGACAATGAAATTCTTCTCTTTGTGAACAAAATGGGAGAATACTGGTTCTATGTTGGGAATTCTGAAGTCATTCTCAAAGCACCCCCAAACCCTTATGCTCCAATCCATGTCTGTGTGAGCTGGGAATCTGCCTCTGGGATTGCAGAATTCTGGCTGGATGGAAAGCCTTTGGGGAGGAAAGGCTTGAAGAAGGGGTACACTGTGGGAGCTGATGCAAAGATTATTTTAGGACAGGAGCAGGATTCCTTTGGAGGAAGTTTTGATGCAAAACAGTCATTTTTGGGGGAGATATGGGAGCTGTCCTTGTGGGACTATGTGGTCCCTCTGGAAGAAGAGCATGACAGTGGCAACCTTATAAATTGGCGAGGTCTTATTTATGATAACACTGGCTATGTGGTGACAAAGCCCAAACTGTGGAGTTAAACTTCCTTCTTGTTATTCATAATGTGCATTTAGTGATAATTAAATACTCCATGAAATTAAGTCAGCTTTTAGTTCTGTTACAATGATAATGTGAATTGCATTAAAAAGCAAAGTAATGTGAGTCATTGTTATATATTATTTACTGGTGCAAAAACTGCGGTGAATTGTACCATCATTGTCTGCACATCAAACCAAAGGAGTTAAGGGGACACACTCCACTCAGAATTGAGTACCTATCTTGCTCTGTGTGACTAGAGGCCGTGCTATGGTGGTTCTGTGTAGTCGAATTCAGAAACCTGTGAACACAATGTGACTTCAAAGAGAGGTCTTCCAGAACAGACCACCTGAGAGAGTAAGACTCCAAAGAGAGTTTCAAAAGAGGATTTCTTAGGAGCTAAGTTGAGAACATGCCTATTCACCTACCCAGAAAAGAATCAAAGATGTTTGCAAAGGTATGCTTAGGGATAAAGATCAACTGTATTGGAGTTCTCTCTGCTAAGAAGCTGTTCTAGAACAAGCATAAAGGTCCCTTCTTGGCCCTCCTAATGCTAAACCTGAAAATCGGGAGAGAAAGACAAGAAATCCACAACTTCTGAGCCAAATTTGAAGCAAGATTTAATGAAACACTGGTCAGGATGATGAACTGTGCTCAGGACCATCCTGGATTTTTCAGAAAATTTTAGAGGCTTATGAAGGTAAACCCATAAGGCCATGGTATTTCCCATCAGGTCCAATCAGGGGCAAGTATACATCCTGATGTATTTCCTGCCCATGTACCCGTGACCAAGCATATCCTGTGCAGTTGATTCAAACAAACGTGTTTAGGTAGTGAAAGCATGTGGCTTGTCAGCCTCCAGTATTTCAGAAAGCATCTGTCCTTGGGCAGGGGGTTTACAGGTTAGAGGCATTTTTGTTTCATAGATCTCTTAGGTACAGTAATTGAAACATAAAGCATAATTTTGGCTCTTGCACCATCAGTAGAGACACAGAGGTCCTGGATTTAAGTTGAAGGATGCTTCAGTGCATTTTCAGTGGGATTCTTGAAAGAGATAGACAGATTTTTTTTCTCGACCTTGTATGGATCACAAAATATTTAACACATTCAGACTCTTCACCAGGCTAAATAATTCTAACTCTTAAGCTTTTCTCACACATGAAAGTGACTTTTGCCTTTAGAGAACAATAGAAGAGAAATTAGGAAACCTGAAGATTTTTGTGTAGAAAAGTGCTTAAACTTTTCAGTTTTCCTAATGCTGCAGCTCTTTAACACAGTTCCTCATGTTGTGATGACCCCAACCATAAAATTATTTTCCTTGCTACTTCATAACTGTAATTTTGCTACTGTTATATATCATAACACAAATATCTGATATGCAGGATATCTCATATATGACCCCCCCCCCGAAACTGTAACTCAACGCCTAAAATAGGCTATGAACCACATGTTAAGTACCAAGGGTTTAAAGTAAATACCTAACAAACAATTCACACAAAATCAGATTGTCAGAGTAGCAACGAAGAGGGTAAAGACAAACCATGAGTATTGGGCCATGTTCTACAAAGACAAGAGTAAAAATCATGGGCTAATTTCTATTTCAGCATCATCAGGAATTACTTAATAAAGTTATTATACTTAATGTTAAAAACATCTTCAGACATCCCTGTGTTACTCCACAGAAAGTGAAGTGAAGCTCTGAACTGAATGTGGCTCGGCTCTTTAGTAACATTAAACACACTGGTGATCCAGACTCCCTAATAGACTGGTTCTATTGTGACTGAAAAAAGAACTGAAGGAAAAAAAATATAGATCTCCAAGGCATGTGAGAAAGTTTATTCATGATAATTTTATGGTGCAGTCAAGGTCAGTTACTCTCATCACTTCCCACAGAAGAAAGTGGAGCTAAGTAGGAGCGGGAGTGCTGGCTGTTTCTAGAACATCTTGACATCAGTCACATTCTCTTTGAAGCTTTAGCGTTCAATATCTGTCCTAGGTTGATGGTGATATTTCAGCCCATCATTCAAATAGACACAATACAATCCACCTTTCTGCCATCGATAAATTGATAATAATGAGCTCCACCCTTGCTTATGATTCCTCCGCATTTCCTAATTTTCAAGCGACATCTGGTCATTACTCTGCTGGTGACCTGGGACACCAATAAATGATATAGCAGAATAATGATAAAAGCAAGAAGGTGAGAATGTAGCTGAGTGGTAAAGCTTTTGCTTAGCATGCGCAAGACACAAGGTTCAATATCTCACACCATAAAAATATTTTACGTTCCAATTTAAAAATGAAAACAAGAATCAACCTTTAGTGCATCTGAGTCATTCTTTAACGTAACCTTACCATCAAATTTTGCAATTTCCTCTGAGTATAGAAGGAATGATAGGAGAAAATTGTTTTTGAGCTTTCAAAAATGCCCAGACCTTTTACTTAGTTTCTGTTATTGTGGTTTTGGGTAGTAGTGGTGGTGGTGGTTTGTTTCATTTTTGTGTGTGTTTTTTCTTTTAGAGAGAGTAGGGATGGAGTTGAGTGGGTGAAGAAATAGGGATGGCCTGGAAGGAACTGTGAGAGGGAGAAAGTGGGAAAAATATTTTACAATAGAAAAAGAAAAGAAAACTCAGACTGTGACTGACTACATATCATTTCTCCTTCATCCATGAAGGCTGTATTTCAAAACCTGCTTCCATGAATACCCAAAATTGAGGCTTATAAAGTAGGTACCTTATAGACACCATTTCTCCTGCTTATACATGTTTACGAGATCCAGTTTGATATATAAATTAAGCATACTGACAGATTAGCACGATAGGAAATGGGTCAGTGCATAAAACTCTTGCCACACAGGTGTAAGGACTGGAGTTGCAATCCCTGGGTCCCCTGTAAATGTCATGAGGAGATGTCAGCCCATCTGTAATTCCTTTTTCATGTGGTGGGCAGAGGGAATCCCCAGAGAAAAGCTGGCTAAAGAGGCTAGCTGGATCTATGAATCCTGAGCTTGATCGAGAGACCCACCCTTAGAGAATCTAGAGAACAAGGTAGAAAAATGATCACTGGAGATTCCTAATATCAACATTAGAATGCCACACTCATGTACACACATTTATAAATAACCCCACTTATACTTATATACATTCAAACATGAATACACATGTGTGTGTACACACATACCTACACAGGAGAAAAGACAAAAATACTCTACATACCTACACACATGAAAAGACAAACATACTCTGATAGATTTGTAATACTATACTGTAATAAAAAGTTATGTGAATGTTGTCTATGTTTTGTTCTCAGGATACTGACACTCTACAGTATCAATGGATACCATACACAACATAGATAATTGGATGAAGGGATGATTCATGCTTCAATTAAGTCAGAGCCGTACTAGATTTCATCATGTTTCTTATAATGGTAAATAAATTAAAACTGAAGAATTTTTTCTATTAGGAATATTCTATTTATAGTATCAGACCAGAATTGACCACAGTTAACTAAAACTACAGATAGATAAAGGGAATCCACTGTATGCCAAGCTGCCAAATATCCTAGAAATTTTTTTTCCCTATAGCACGGTAAATGGCATCCTTGACTTCTTTGTTCCTCAAAGTATATACCACGGGGTTAAGGAGAGGAGTAAACACAGTATAAGTTACTGAGATCAGCTGGTCCTGGTCCCTGGTGTTCTCGGACTTGGGCTTGAGGTAGGCAATGGAGGCACAGCCGTAGTGGATGATGACCACAGTGAGGTGGGAGGCACAGGTTGCAAAAGCCTTCTTCCGTCCCTCAGCAGAAGCAATCTTGAGGATGGTGGAGATGATGAGGATGTAAGAGATGAAAACCAAGCCCATGGGCACCACAATAACCAGTGAGCTGATGATAAAGTTAACGATGTCATGTAGTGTGGTATCAGCACAGGACAGCTTCATCACTGGGCGGATGTCGCAGAAGTAGTGCGCTACCTCCCTGTCACAGAAAGGTGCCCTGAACACAGATGCAATTTGAATGATGGCCACAAGCAGCCCGATGCTGCAGGACCCCCATACTAGCTGGGCACATACGCTCTTGTTCATGATGACTGTGTACCTCAAGGGGTTACAGATAGCGACGTAGCGGTCATATCCCATCACTGTAAGCAGAAAACAGTTGTTGATGGCCAGAGTGATAAAAAAGAACATCTGGGTAGCACAGCCAGCCAAAGAAATGGGTTGATTTGGACCCACAAGGCTGGAGAGCATCCTTGGTACAATGACCAATGTGTACACTGTCTCTGAAGTGGAAAGCATACTAAGAAAGAAGTACATGGGCGTATGAAGGTGACGATCAATACTGATAATGATCACAATAATGACATTGCCAGTCAAGGTTAGCAGGTACAAGGTCAGAAATACCATAAAGAGAGTAAACTTGTACTCCTGAAAGCTGGAGAAACCTTGGAAAACAAACTCACCCACCCCTGTGTGGTTTCTTCTCATCATTTTTCAGGCAGAAATGACATGAGCCAATCAGTCAGAATGCATCAGTGCTCAATGCTTTGAGCAGGTGACGTGTAGGAAGAACCAACAATAGTTCTGCATTTGCATATAGCGTTAGCAGGGCCAGCTGTCCATCTAGTAGTCAAAGATAGACACAATCAGGAAACAATACAGTGTGTAAACATTTATGTGTGAAATATGCAACAGATTTCCTGGTGAGGCAGACATTACCTATTTGAAGGAAGTAGGCAGGAGAAACAGACAAGGAAGTTAAGTTTGAAAGGCATTTTCCTTTAGACCATAGCTTCAGACCGTGTTACCTAAAATACAGTTAAAACAGAAATTGTGTTTTTTCCTTAAAGGACTGCATTTTTGTGATACTGAAAAAAAAAATACTAGGTGTCCCAGCAGCTCACAAATGCTTGTGTTCTCCCATGCATTTGTCTGTTTCATGAAACCATTTCTACAGATCACTCAGCATTTGCAAGCCTGATTGTCCCCTTCACACTTTTAAAACAATGAATATTCCCTTCTTTCTTCAATATTGATGGATGCCGCTTCTTCCTCAGAAAGACTTTTCAGCACTAGATGTAACCTGTCAATCAAGCACCTTGTTGCCCAGCAACTTATTTTCCT